AGGGAAAGATTTTTCGCTTCTCTTAGTTCTGTGTTTCCTGTACTTCAGTAGACAAATATGGCTAATACTTTAATTAATAAGTAATGCTAAGAACATTGTGGTGACAGTCCCTAACTTGAAATTGTCAGCTCATTTAAAACCTTAAAACCATCTAAGAAAAACAGACAGGCACAGACACGTTCAATACCAAGACTAACATTTTTTGCAACTTACAGCAAAGTATTTTAGATATTGAAGTCAAGTACATCAAATCGAAACCCAAAATATACAGCTATAACCTCACCCCATTCCCTCAATTTCTCCACCCTTAAAACAAGGTATCCACCTATAACTAAAGGAGAATCTCCCTCTTCATTCTTAACATTGGGATTGCAGCCACTGTGCAGGAGAAAGCAGACATTGTCTACAAGGCAATTTTTTACAGCCAGCAAGAGAGGTGTTTCCCCTTTTAGAGTGGTCTGTTCCCACGCAGCGGCACGGGAGGCTGAAATACAGAAAAGCAGAACACATTGAAAACTGAATCATTCATCAAACCTGACTTTGTAAAACTTCTTTGTTGAAAACCACAAGGACTTCATACCTCTCAAAGTTATTTCGAGGATGTTCCTACTTAGCTGTGCTGCAGCTTCATGCACAGGAAGCCAGCCTTGCTGATCTGCTTCTTCAAAAGCAGAACTGTGCCTCACCAACTTCATCAAGGCTTCTTCTTGGCCTGTGATATTTTAAGACAGACATATCCCATTACTTGTAATAAAAAAAATTCAGGCAACTAATCACATCAGTGTATCTGGAATACAAAACTTGCTTTATGAAAGCTTTTTTTTCCCTCAGAGGGTGAATGGGACAATCAGTGAATGACATTGACTCAAAGTATTTTGAATTTCACATTGAAAAAACTTACTTATAATTAACATGACTAAAATATTTCAAATATAATCCTCTCATGAGCAGCAGTGCATGAAAGTTTAACATACAAAGTAAACAGGTAGGAAAAAGATTCATTTGGCAAAAGTAAAATGAAGCTGATGAGATCTCATTATTCCTGCTTTTATGAACAATCTTACTGGATCATTTATCAACATAGATTATGTTTTCAATTTTATATGTCATTAAGAAACAGTAAAACTTTCTTGGCTGGAAAGCTTTTGAGTGTCCTGTTTTTCATTGCCTTCCTCCTCCCCCAAGACTATATAAATAAAACCTGCACTTCAATCAGGTGACAGAGACACAAAATGCAGGTGTTTCTCAGCAATGCCATACCCAAAGGGTTTCTGGGGGTACAGGCCACATGCAGTCTATTTGTACTTAACTGTCCGAATTGCTGCAATTATCTTCCCATGTTCTTTACTTGTAATGTATTGGAAACTGCATAAACAGAACAAAAATAAAGGGAGAAATAAAAATTGATGTGATGTTGAGGAAATAATCATACCTCAAATTAAGTACTCAAGTCTAATCTGTGTGTTAGATTTCTGTAATTTACATAAGTTTTGTCAGGTTTAAACACATTAAAACATTTTTTGTTCATCTTCCCCTGCCACTAGAAATACTGGCTTTTTCACTCAAAGGTCAAAGGTCAATAATTAAACACTAAAATGAGGGAAAGCTAACATACCAATCTATTTTTACATCACATGCTTATCTTCTTCATAAAGCCTTGTACTCATTTAGATTTTGATGTAAAATGTCACCTGAAAGTTTCTACATTCTGTATTTTTGAGAAAATGGGTATACCTCTTCAGAGGGGACTCAGAACAAGTGAGCTACCTGTGGTTTCCATGAGAAGAGGTCAGAGCAATACAACAGAGTCACAGAGGAAAATAAGGTTACTATATGCTTATAGTAATGGCAAGAAAACACCCAAAATAGAAGTAATAACTTATTACCTTTCATCCTCTGTTGCACTGCCGTGTGTTTCAATTTTATGCCTATCTTGTAAGCTTTCCTGAATAGCTTGTTGGGTAGGGATTTCATCATCAGAATCCTCACCAAATATATATGCAGAATTATACATGTCAGATCAGCACAACCTGGATCAATTTTCATACAGGAACACTGCTTTTTAATTGCAAATAGATGTTAAATATTCAGGTTAAATCTGGAGCAATAGAAAAAGCAATCCCTGTTTAAATATGAAACTTTAAGATAAATTAATCAGAACTCCTCAGTCTCAAGCTCCAGCCTTCTCCCAAGTATTTAAGTTTACACTGCAAAGAGTTTTTAACTAATGCTAAAGAAGTTAAAAATATATTTACCCTTTAAACACAGGAATACAAACAATGGAACACAGTAACAAATCCCATCTACACTATTTTTAAAGTCTAAATGTTAAAAATTAAAGAAATAATTCAAAAATAAACAATCCAATCTATTAAATAGTATAATATGTGTGGATCTACACTGTTATATGCATTGACAGTCACACTGTTCTTTTGTATATTCAGCTACGTGCAGATTTTATAGATGAAAAACACAGATTTTGTTAGGATCAAAACTCTCATCTCTTTTACCTTATCAAAACTTCCACTTCTGTCTTTCAAGAGCATTGGCCTGAAAAAAACATCTTAAAATACAAGTAAAAGAAAACAGATGAATAAGTTAGCAAAGTAAAATAAATAGATTAGCATAATGAAGAAGGACAGCAAAATGGAAGAGGTTGTCAACATGCTACTTGCAAAGTTTGGAATAATTCTATAAACATCTTGAAGTTGAGCAGCAGTAATTCACAGCAAACGTGCACAATTTAATTTGTTATCTGATCCATCGAATGTGATTGCACAGCCCTTATCTGTAATTGCACATGTAGCAAAAAGATGAATATACTAGCAAAAATATACAAGTAACTGTTAGTGTTCGATTATACATACAGCATGAGTACACACTTTTAAATCAAGACTATTAAAAAAAGATTACTAATTTTCCAGTGAATTCACAAAATATATCGTGTTTTTCCTCACCTTCTGAAAGAGGGAAGACCTCACACTATGAAGAAGTGAATATTAAGTTGAAAGTGATATTTTCAGACTTGAAAATGATCTCAGCCCATCTCCATTAATAGCTCACTATAAATACCCGATCATAAGACACGCTGGGACTTTCTCCATGTTTCTTTCACACAGGTTAGTTTTATGTTTAATAGTCTGATCAGAGCAATGGTGTCAGCAAAAGAAAGAAATAGAAGTCCAGCTTCTTTATAAAAATATTCTTATTAAAAGTTCTTCAGTGCTTTCTTAAGAGATGAAACTGAATACACTTCAGAAGTTTACAAGAGGAAGACAGTGTAAAATGAAAAAAATAAACAATTAAAGTAAACAAGCAAGCAAATAAAATTGAGTGCTCTATTAAAAATCACAATGTGTTTCTGATTGCTTAATCACAATTCACGTATTAAGAGAAAAGCAAACCAATGTTCCCTTTTTTAAGGGAAAAGCACAGATTCAGAAAGACCATAGTGGTGTAACACACAACAAGCAGGAAAATGAAGGACACAGATGCCCTGTTATAATAGTGGAGGTCAGACAGTATGAGAGAGAAACAGTTCTTTGTTCCAGATTTAGGAAGTAGCTTGAGTATTTTGGGATTTTCCATGCGATTTTTTTGTTTGTTTCTTGTTATGTTGTTTGTTTGTTTTTTTACAGAGAACAGAAGTGTAGAATCAGTGCAGGAACTGAAACTGGGCTGCCTTGCTGGAGCAACAGGAAAACAGACAACATTTTACAGCAGGTGGCAATAAGGGAGATTTTATTATTTCTGCTTCATGGAAAATCTTCAGGGAAAAACCACAACAAAACCCTTACAAAAAGCCAAAATATCTGAATTAAATCCTGAAAAGATGAACTTGCTGAGGAAGGAAGGCATCAGAAGTACCTACCATAGATAACTAAACTATTTCTCATACTGCACTCTTCACTTTTGCTATGATAGAACATAGGCTATATATAAATTCAGATTGAAATTCTGAAATTTACTGCTTACTAGCTTTCTCTTCTGCAATATATTCATGTTTCACCAATCATCTGATAAGAAACTGCATTTTTATGCCAAAGGCAGAATCCGTTTTGTGTGTTTTTCCTGAACAACTGAGTTTATGGCTAGCTTTAATTTGTATAAGGAAATTAGTAAAAAAACCAACTCAAAACAGTTGAAGTAACCTCTTGCTTTTAATGTTTTTATTTTAGTGTTGTTTTTACTGTAATCATTACTGTGTGTTGTCAGTTTGCTGCTTTTTAATTTTGTTTTACTGCCTTTTTAGTTACCTTTTAATTTCTGCACTTTCTCCCTCAACTGCATCACCTTAAAGTCCTTAAAATCATTAATCTGCTCCAGAACTGAAGAACACATTTTAACAGTTGGATTTGCCTCTGTTTCTTCTGTCTTCTCTCCTACAGTTTTGCTTTTTGGTGTCATTTTCCCTTCCTGCT